GGTCTTCAGACTGGTATGTTGCTGGTCCATGAGGAGGTAAGTATAAACTGAGAGTGTTTAGAGATGTTTACAGCAATTTAACATTGTTGCAATATCCAAGCACATGATCAGTGGATTTATTTTGCTGAACAGGATATGGACCAAGAGTACTGGTCCTTAATAGATTTGAAATTAAAAAAAATTCATAGATAGTTTGAGAATCACTGTTTGTGAATATTACCTAATATAGAACTCTAATTTCCTTCCTAAATACTGAATAAGTGAGATAATTCCCGTGTTCAAGATTATTATACCATTACAAATACTTATCAATTGATTTTATTTATAAGGAAAGTTTATGAATAGAGATTTGAGTAATTGTTGAGTAACAATTTTAAAAAATATTCTTTTATCCATTAATTTTTTTATTCAATAAACACAGGGTGGGGGAAAAGGAGGTTTAAAGTTGTTTGTATAGAAAATAATACAATAATTAATAAATAGTAATACAGGAATAAACTCTGTGTTTCCCATGCTCACAACTGTAGACCTCCTTTGCCCCAGCCTGTATTACTGTTTGCCTCTCAGGTGTCTGGTGAATGAGGGAGGTCCAGTCCCTGGTCTTACGGGGTGATCAGGCAATGCAATCAATATTCCATGCATAAGCTTGCTGTGCGGGGAGTGCAGGCTTCCCTGGGGCACTGAGAAGGGGCACCAAGTTTGGGGGCCTTAATTCTAAAATTAAGTAATTGTTAAAAACCAAATAATTCACAAATTTTGGTAAAAAGTACCTAAGCCACTCCTTATGGATTGTGACACGAACATTTTTTGACTTTTTATACTGTGCTTACACCTTGCCAGGCACTATTCCAAGTGCTGTTCTGTGTGCTGGGGATATATTTGTGGATAAAACAGACACAATCTCGGTCCACATGGGGCTTATGATCTAGTGCAAGGAAACCAACGAATGGACAGGAGGGTTTCTGACATTGATGAGCTCCAGAAGGAAATAAAACGGGGGAGGTGGTAAAAATGAGTGTGTGGGAGTGAATATGTTGCAGAGATTTATCAGGGGAGCCCTCACTGAGGAGGGGACATCTGAGCTGAGGCCTGAATGACATGAAGGAGCCTGCTGGAGAATGTGAGAGGGGAACAGCACAGCGAGTGGCAAGCGCCAAGGCTTTCAGGCAGGAAGGAGGCTGGGAGGGGGCCAGCGTGGCTGCAGGGGAGCGGGCCGGAGGGAGAGGACAGGCTCAGAGGGGAAGCAGCAGCCGCAGGGAGGCTGTAAACCGCCCGTGGCAGATCTGATTCAAAATTTAAATTAATCCCATGGGCTCCTGCGGATATAGAGGAGCAAGAGCAGAAACAGACAGACTAGTGAGGAGGTGGTGACAGCGGCCAGGCCGGAGAGATGGTGGCAGGGACTACAGAGCCGTAGCAGTGGGAGTGGAGACGAGGGAAAGCTGACTGACTGGTCTTGGTGGTGGCTGAACGTGGGAGGGAAGGGGCAGGGATCGAGAGCTGTCTAGACTAGCTGAGTGGTGCCGGTGACTAGATGGGGGCCCTGCGGTCTGGGGGTGGGGGTCGGAGTTTGGTTTGGAGTATATTAAATTCGGGATGCTTGTTGGACATCCAGGTGATGACAGCGCATCGAGGCGGTCAGAATGGGTTAGAGCTGAACGTGTACGTTTGGAATTATAAGGCCATGGCAGTGCAAGAGATCCCTTAGGGACAAGGGGGTAGACAGAGAAGGGGAGGGGCCAGACGCCAAGCTAGCTGCTAGGCCTCAAGGTCATGCTCGCGTGTGGAGGGGTCAAGCAAAGGAGGAGGGAAATGCAACTCAGCAGTTGAGAGCTCCTGCAGGAGGCTCAGGCTCGGTGTAGCCACAGCAGAGATTCTTGGACCCTCATCACCCACAGCTCCTGCACTGGAGTCGGCGACCACGCTGGATGACATGGGCATTCCACCCTGAGCTTCCATCCCTATGACTGTTTGTTTGTCCTGGGTATTGGCCTCAGTGTTCTTTTGCTTCTGACAGCCAGTTCCTGTATCTCTTTTTCGAAGGACTGCCCCGAGGCTACTGGAGTCTCCTTACTCCCCAGACAGGAGTGCCTTGGGTGTTATGACCTCTCTTGGTGGCCCGAAACCAGTGACTGGAGGTTTTAGGAGCATGAAAGCTGGGCTCCCTTCCCTCAGCTTTAGACAGCTCTGAGGCGTAATCTGTACCCTCTGGAGTGTTCCTTGGAATCTGACTGAAGCTACCCTCTGGAGAGCTCTTGCCTTAGGTAGCACCCTTGCTTGACCTGTCTTGGGAGCACTTTTTCAATAAGTTGTCTTCCCCTGGGCAACTTGACTTAAGATCTGAACTGCCCTCCCTGCCACCAAACCGGCTTCTTCATCCCTAGCCCCATTTAGGATTATTGGTATAGTGTCATCATTTTTATTTTAAAATAAAATTAGGTGAAATATTTTAAAGCATTCCCAAATTCTCAAAGTTATTTTTTTTTGGAATAGTTTCTATATTAACAGCCATCAGGTGGAAAGGATTTTGTTTTTTAACATAAAGACAACTATCTGTTTCTACTGATTCTGATGGATTTGTTTACTGTTCAATTAAGTGAAACATTTCCAGGGAGTTATTTATTTTCAGTCTTCCAGCTCAGAGAGTAAATCCTAATCTTAAACTGATAAAACTATTAGGTGATTATTTCCTCTTCACACACTGGGTCAATAAAATTACAGTGATTAAACAAGGGAATAAGGCAGGGTGTTTAGCAGGGTTTGACTGCTGTGGATGTGAATTCTAGCAGAAGAGGCCTGTGAGCTTTTCCACACATTTTCATGTGCTAATCTTGGTAGCTTTCATTTCCTCCTTGTAAAACAGCCTGCAGCCAGGGTCTGAGCAGGATTTCGAAGCCAAAGGGCCAGTGTAAAACAGTCTGCAGCCAGGGTCTGAGCAGGATTTCGAAGCCAAAGGGCCAGTGTGTCTATGTGGAATTTTCCCTCTGTCTTTGAGGGAAAAGTAAAATTAGATTCTATTTATTTTGACTGGATTTCCTTTTATTTTAGAAAATTTTGGGGGCATTTTAATATCTGTCTATAAAAAGCACTTGGATCTTTTGCTTTTAAAGAATAATTTACAGATCTCCTTCCCTCCCAACCTCCCTCCCTCCTTGCCTTTCTTTCGGATTCAGATTCTCTATCTGAATACCATACAAAACATTTTTTAAAGCTCCTAAGTGGGTTTTCTCTGCCTGTGGTAGAATCGCAACATTGTGATAGCCTCGTTTACCTTTAGCAGTTTCCTGTCTGAGGCTGTACATAGAAAACAAATACCTGCTGAGTGAATGAGTCCTTAGTGTTATGTTCTAGTAGGCACAATCCTAAAATATCAATGATGTATTTTTCTTGGTGTGCACCTGTGATGAGAGTCTTGGCCCCCAACTCTTAATTTCAGCTCAACTCTTTGTCACAGACATGACAGCTGTCTTGGAAAAATCATTTTTAATTCCTTAAACTGTCTTTGTACACTTCACAAAATTAAATTGTACTAGATTCTGTTGCAGTGAAACACCCACTGGCAATTCCTTTTGCCTCTAAATACCTCTGAAACACTTGGACCTTGACCATCGATTTCATAATACATCAAGGCATGCAATTATGAGACCATAATGCCTGCTCCTTCATGCCCGATAAACACACTGTGAAGTCAAGCTATGGCACTGAAGCACAGTGGAAAGTTTTACATCCAATCAAATTAAACCAATGGTATATTTAATATTGTATTTGCTATATAGTTGAAAGTATGGGTATCTTCAACTTTCTTTTTGTTTCTATTCTGGAAACTAAAACAATTGAATAAATTGTTTATTAAGGGGAAAAAAGCAAACAAATAAATTGCTCTGTCCATTTGTGAACTCATATTTTGAGTGGGGGTGGAAAGTAGCCCTAAAATTTATTTTTGGAAAAGTGATGATGACTCCCAAGCTTAATTCGGAAGACTGAAATGCTCACTGGGTTGTATTCTGAAGCTCACCATCCCACTTGTTAAAAAACAAAGTTCAACTGAGTAAATTTTAAAGATTTTATTGCCTTTATTCAGCAGTTTATAAATTGGGCAGCTCCGAGTTGCTGTAAGAGAAGAAAGACTTTAACAAGCAGGAGGGAGCAGGAACAAGGAAGTTGTACCAGGCAAAAAGCAAGTCGGTTATTGTGAGGTTGCTTTGCCGCAAGGGCATGGTAGGGTGTTGTCAGGAAGATCACCCGACTACTTGCAGGCTTAAGTTTCCATTTCTGGGAGAGCTGAAGCTGTAATTAAGTCTTGGTTCAGTGACGTGGAGCTTAGCATAAGTGACTCCATTTTGGGCCTCTTGTCTGGTTTTTAACAGGATGATTGGGTGAGTTCAGGGGTTGTGCAAGACTGACCCAGCTGTTGCAGAAGAGCTTATGACTAGAATTGATCCACGTGGGGATTCAGGTGGCAGCTCAAACACTTTAGGAATTCTGGAAATCCAGTGACATTTTATGTGTTTCTCTGGACACTGTAATGCTTATTTACAAGTGGATGAGACTTTCTCTGGGACTCTTCTGGGCATGAAGGAGGAACCCCTTAACTAGCAGCTTATGCTTAAGGATTCTTGTCAAGAAAGACAAGTAAGAAGGCATAAGAGCATCAGTTAGGATTAGGTATTTGTTTATAGATATATATTTTGGAAACCCCAAATGAGGGCATTTTCCTGACATACAGAACAATACTTTCTGGGACAATGAGTCACAATATTTGAAATCAAGGATGACTTAGAAAATATAGGCTCTGGTGCTATAGTTATAAGCCATGCTCTAAATGTACCTTTGAATGAAATAGTAAATGGTACGCATATTAACATCTTTATTATTGTATTAGAAATAAATGTTAGTTTTTGCATATTTAAGTAAATGTCGTGACTTTTGGCTGTATTAACTGAGAATATTTTGGAGCGCACAACCCAACTAAAGTTTTCCCTTCTGCTTTACCTTGAAAGGAATGCAATGTTAATCCTGAGGCACTGACATCTTACAATGCCTGATCAAGACAGAACGGTGAAGACCACAGAAAAATCAACCGATAAAAAACAGCAAGGAATCACCACCAGGTAACCCCCTATTGAGTCTGCTAATTATTAACTCAGGCAGTGGCCAGCAACCAGATTTAATAGCTTTTTGAGAAATAGGTAGACTTTGACAACTGCTACTCTGGGTTACGGTGTTTACTGAAATGTCTGATCATTTATAGAGTTCTAAAGGAAATGTTTGCGTGTATATGTTTCAGCCCATAAAAGCAGGCCTTCCGGTGGCAAGGCCATCAGTGGGTAACATGACTGCTCACCCGAAGCCTTCTGTTGGTTGACACTGTGCTATTCTTTCTCCTAGGGACTATTCAGATCTTAAAAGACTTCGGTGCCTTTTGAACGTTCAGTCAAGCAAACAACAGGTAGTGTTTTCAAAGAAGGTGCATAAGTCAATAAAAAGGAAATCACATGTTTCCAAAGGGATCCATTTAACATCTTTATGAATGATATGTCTATTTCTCTTTGTTCTTTCACATGTTTTGTCTTTCTTTGCCCAGCTGTTTCTCTCATACCTGGTTCAAGTAGATTTCCTGCTTTATTCTATGCTTGTGGCCATGTGTCCTCATTACCAAAGCTCTAAAGTCTAGAAACAGCATGCCTTCTATTGAATGCCCGATGTTCAAGTCTTCAGAGTTTTGGGCAATTGATTTTTTCAAAGCATTTTCACCACATTTCCCTTCTTTTCCCCTCCACCCACCCTGTGCTGCCCACTTGCTCTAGCACCACTCTTGAGGCTTGCTTCAAATGTCTCTTACTGAAAAGAGGGGAAAGGAGTGAGTTTGGGCTATTTTTATAATAGCATTTTTATGTTTTTATTAGGCAGAAAAAAAATTTATCTCTAAACATTTCTTTTTGGTTTTACTTCTGTAAGACTTTGGAGAGTCATGAGATTAAAGGCCTCCTCTGGAGGTTTGGGAAACAACACAGCAATGCTAATAATAATAATAGAAGACACTTATTTAGCACCTTTAACTAGTCAGTGGCACAGATGGGACTTGACCCCTGGTGGCATGCCTCTGAAGTCTGCTATGCTACTCTCGTTTCATTTGTTTAAGAGCTCATGTTATGGTAACTCAACATTGATGATCTTTGTTATATCAGCCAAACTTCCCAGAGAACGCCAGCATTTTTATCTACTTATTTATAGTGGCAAGTGACTTTCTAATGATTTAATGGCATATAAAGGCCAAATAATGATAGTTCATTTTAGGGAACACTTATCATGTACCTGGTGTTTTTCCTGCTTTACCCTGCTTAATAACCAGAGCTCCCACTTTCACAGATTAGGAGCCAGAGGCACAGAGAGGTTAAGTGACTTTCCCAAGATCATACAGACAGCTAATGGTAGAATACAGATCTGAACCCAAACACTTCATCTCTGCAATGTGTGCCTCCAACCACCGAGATACCTTTTAAATGACTTGGGAAATTGAATTATGTACAGTTCAAAAACAAGTTGAATAAACATTGATTTGGAGTAAACATGGCCTTAAAGTATTTTTCCTCCTCTCAGTTCCTTGTTCTCTGTTATTGATACTACACC